ATTAAACTTTTAGGAACATTAGTTTTTAGGAAATTGATCTATTTTGTTTTATTCAAACAAACCAACATTTTGGGCCCTTTCCAGGTCTCATGGTCACGATTGAAAACACATATACGCGATTTAAATCCGGAAAAATAGTTTCGTTTCCTATGTATAACAATCGCGAAAACCTAAGAAATCGAAACATTAGTTTCTATGTGTTTAAAGTACAGGCTTGAAAATTTAGCTTTTGTTCAAAAGACGGTAGCCATTATAATTGTAAGTCAATGGTAGCCATAATAATTTTCAACCCAGCTTGGAAACGTAATCAAATTCGGTTCTGGCTTGTTCCTATATACAGACCCATAGATATAAACCTAACCTAAGCCTACAGGAGGAAGTCGAACTTGCTTTGAAACGCAAACAAAAATTACTAATTTGATTTTTCGTCTTTCTTTAATATTTAGACGCACAAATCTGTGTCTGCGTAAGGCCCGCTATTAAATGCAGACGTGCATTACATCTGTTGGTAGCCTAAGGAGAATGAGATATTTTTTATTGCACACAGCAAAGGAAAACTTAGCATGAAAACAGTGTTGCCAGATGGTCACATTTCTTATATTTTTCATAGCTTTTGATCCTCTCGCGTAATATGTAACTTTCCATTTTTAAGACAATTTTCGTAAAGAAAGACTTTTTTGAATGAAACCGTATTTGTGATTGTGATATCTAAAAAGTTTAAGAACACACTCAAATTAGGGAAAAAAGTAACTCGGAGATGACGCTAACAAAATAAAATCTTCTAAGTACTGGTTAAATGGTTTTTCTTGAGCGTACCTAAGTTTGTTTTTAGGATTTAGGCATACATAAATACATTTCGTAAATACTTAGATTGTTTTACATTAAACTGTCTCTGTGGGAGAACAGTAGCTGTGCCGAGGTCCCACGGTCCGACTTCCACGCAGAGGTCCCAGGTTCGATTTCCGGGCCGGGAGAAATATTTTCATTTACTCGTGAGTTTGGTGTAATTTGTGGTTGCCTATGTGTGTGTCCATGGTGTCCGCGACTCAGGGTTTCCCTAGTGTGGGTCTATGTTGAGTGTGTGCTTTATTATTATTATTATTTGACTGAGAAAAAAAAGAAATAGTGACTTTTACAACGAAATTGTAAACGAAACGTAATTTTTGTCTCAAGAGTTCTGGCAACACCGCAAGAAAAACTAACTTAAATCTCCACACAGTGACTCATAGTTATTAAGCTTGTACTTAGTCGAATGATGTGGACCCACCCTTATCCTCACGACCCACCAGTAAAATGTACAACCTTTTCCGCCGTATAATATTTTACGCTAGCTTACTTAATAACACAATTCTAACTACCAAACAATTTCAATTTGTATTTATTTATAAATAAAGTTCAATTTCGTAGATCTCGGCGAATGGTTCTGTGAAAAAGATGAACCTAATTCCTAAAGGTGTAAGGTATATAATCGCTTGCGCATTTCGATTATTTATTTTTTGTGTAACGGATTTACTATTCCTAGAAAGGGTGCTGTAATTATGATATTCGCGAAATTATCTTATTCTATTATCTAAGTAAATAAAGCTAAATAATGACCTTAAACTAGAAAATTCCATTTAACACAGTATAACACACTTCTTTCTTTCTTTGTTCTGAATTAATATACAAATATTTCCTATTTAGTTTATTCCTATTTTGGTTTATTATATTTAACTGCCTCTGCGGCCGAACGGTTACCTTGCTGGTCTGCCATGCAGAGGTCCCGGGTTCGATTCCAGAGCCGGGAGAAATATTTGTATGGCCTGTATTTAGTTCTCTCTTGAGTTGTGGTTGTCTATGTGTGCGTCTATGGCACCCGCGACACAGGATTTCCTTAGTGCGGAACTGTGAGTGTGTGCGTTATTATTGTATATATATATATATATATTTTACATTCTCGCCTCCCCTATGGCCTAAGATAAGATGAATTTTGAATTTTTAAATGGGAGAGACAATGATACAGTCGGCCGAGGTCAAGAACTGGCGTACAACACGTGCCGTATCGAGCAGGACCGCCTTCTGCATTTGCGCTGAAAGCGATATGCCACGTCAGTATATTAATATTATTCGGTTAGGTATTTAGTACATGCGGCCGTTGAAAACCATGAACAATATCAGAAAATGAAAGTTTTTCCGGATTTAAATCGCGTATATTTGTTTTTCCTAGAAATAAAATTTTCGGATTCTTTAGAGGCTAAGGACTCCTGCTTTTTATTTAGATCTGTATTAACTTTTTTGTTAAAAAAAAATCGATATCAAAAGTTTGCTTATCCACTTTCCCTGTATTCATTACATCCATTTGCCAAGTTTCACTGGAATCGGTTAACGGAAAGTGGGTGAAATCCAATAAACCGGGTTCATCCCCTAATTTGCCACCTTAAGAGGTGGAATATTTGCTTAAAATGAATGAGACTACTACTGAGATAGGGGTATCTCATAATGTACGACAAATCGTGTACTTGAACTTGTTATTATGTTTTCTTTTATTGAAAGAAAAAGTTAGGTGCACCACAGTCCATCGTCAAGTTCGAACTTCAAAAATCTTTCGTAACGTAAAAAAATCGCTTTTGCTTTTTAGGTGTAAAAAATATACCTCTTTGTAACAGTGTTAGTCAAAAACCCGTAAACAACGGTAGGTAGTGGATGTCCCTAAACCCTGTTGGCATTTAGCCAGAGTACATTGACTTTGTTGCTAAAATGTCTTAAGTAGCGAATATTAAGGATGTTTGAAAATATTTTTCATATGGAGTTGTTAGGTTTTCGCCGAGATTGGTACACATATTAACCATTAATTGGTCGCGTGGGGTGTTTCACACCCCATAGCATGTTTCTACGCTCATAAGTTTTTAAAATTTGTACTTACAACTTCTGTCTTCAGTTTAGCTTCGTAAACGTGATTATACTTCACAATTCATTCGTAATCTGCGCTCGTTTGTGTATAGTAGAGCGAGTTTGGGGTGCGTGATACCCCACGCGACCGTTTGTGTAAACAAAATTCCGTAAGGGAAGTAAATATATTTTTTTTATTATTACGTATTTAAACAGTGAAGGTGGAAAAAACTACGTTGTAGTGACATTTATAAAACGAATATATTAGCATTGTAAAGATTATGTTGTAACCTTAGAATAATAACGCATAGAATGATAGTTTCATATCAAACGAACTGTTACAAGTGAGGCAAAAAAGGAAATTAATGTAGGCTAGTTTTAGTAGTAGGTTAATTTTCGGTTTTAGTGAATATTTATAAAAAAATACATGTTGAAACGCGTTACTTCCTTGTGGAATGTGATGTTAGTATCTATTTTATGTTTGTCTGACGTATTTTTACACTCATTTACCGCACATTTCGTCATTTTTAGCTAAAATTCTTGATCTGTTCGCGGTGCAAGTTGATCTTGAGCACTGACGGCCCGCCCGCTCGTGTAGGCTCTTTGGGAGCGCTTCAATTTGCCTCACTTAGCGTGTGCGGGCTAGGTTTCTATGCGTTATTATTCTAAGGTTGTAACGTGATTCTTTTTTGTTTTTGTTTTGAGGTAGCTGAACTCAGTGGCAGTACCCATCAGATCTTTGTGATTTAAAGCTCTGGATGGTACGGCAACTCTTGGATCGTATTATTGTTGGCGCTAGAAATAGGTAATACTGGACGAACTCTTTCACAATTCAGAGTATTTACAAGGCATATCAAAATTTCTTACAAACGACTTGCCCTGACTGAAAAATATAATAAAGAATGCCTTACCTTATCCTCTTTTCTCTTTGTATTGTTTTCCAACATGTCTACATATTTGTAACCAACTTTATTTAATAACGACTGGAAACGTATTTAGCTTGCAAATAATTCAAATGTAGTAATTAACCATTGCCTTTAACAGCTGTTCTTGGAATACTGCACTGTTTCATAGCAGAAAAGGATGTTGCTCACGGCTGCTTTTTCAATAAAAGAATGCTACATTAATTAAATTCCGAGCCTTCTATCTCTAGATCCCAACTGCTGTTGTGCAGGCTTAATAATACCGTTATAACTTGATCTCTCCTACATAGAAAATAAAAGATAGGTAACATTTTAATACGAAGAAGACCGACGTGTTCAAACAGCCAAAGAAAATCGTTATTATGACGTTTAGAAAATAACGAATCCCATTGGTTATTGAAACTTTTCTTTCTTTTTGGTTGGTTAGACTGCGTTATAATGACCAGTATGTAGGGATTTTTAAAATATGAATGGAACATTTCACACTATCATTATTTTGAAAAGCAATGATGTTTCAATATAGTTTAAACTATACTTTCAATTATTTTTATACGAATTTGAGTTACAACAAAAAAAAAACATCTTACTGACTTTGAGACTAGGCTGATTTTTATTAAATAGCCTAGCCTAACTCGTAGTATACCAGCACAACACCGGTAGGGTTAGCACAATAGGGCACGACTTCCTCGAGAGCGACATAAAAGCGCTAGATGTTGCTAACACCTCGCGCAATACGTCTCTTGTGCTGTCGTGCTAGCCTTGCATATTATTGATTAGTACATAGGTCGAGCAGGCAAACTGCTAGACGGTCCATTCAGGACGAAAGGAGAAAAATGGATGATGGACCATTTCATATAAAATTTCACATAGATAAAAAATATACACACATTTTGTGTTTCCGACGCATAAGATGCTCGATCTTCAAGGAGCGACTAAATAGGCATCTTCTAAGCGAGCTCGTTCCATCGTAAACCCTATCTTTGCTCTAGGGCTAGGTAGTGGTCAAGAGCAAGGCCAATTACTTATATATAAAAAATAAAGTCGAGAAATGAAATTTCTAAATTCATTCTGATCTAGATGTTCTAGGCAGCGTACTCAAGAGAATTTCGTTACTTTGATACAGTGATTTTCCTACCGGTTAATTCGTGTGGTTGCTTATTATTAATTATGAACGTAGCATTTCAAATGCCACGTGAATTGACTGTTTAGGAGATTGTGCACCAATTGAAAGATAAAGAAGGAGACGCTATTGATAGTGCTTCTGAAGGTGAACAACATCATGAAATGACCATAACTGTGCATAAGAACAAAGCGAAAACTAAAACGAAGGTATTCGCACACCACCTCGACCGCTACAAAAACGACACAAGAGGCTTGAAAGTGGAGATCCTGAATCGGCATCTAGAGCAGTCCGGTCGCCTTCATATAAATAATAACATACATGTTCGAAGGGCTTAAAACACATATGTGTATTGATCACATGATTCTAGTCTGCCAAGTTTGTGATGAAGAAAATAAGCTGACGAAAGTTGTTGTTTTTTTTATTAATAACTTGTTTTACCAGTTAGAAACACATTTATAAGCTAGGAGATAGGTGTGTTCTAATATTGTCTTTAATAAAAGCCTGATTTTGCGTGTATTTTGTATTTTTTTTCACGAATCTAATTTGGGGTGTCGCGCACCCCACGCGACCATTTGCGTAACTTTTTAGAGCCACTAATTAAGGGTTAAGTGAAATAATTGTAAACCGACTTCAAAAAAGGAGGTTTTTTTATTTTTATTGTATATATGTTACAGATTACTCCGACAATTTTGTGAACCAATTTTGATGATTCTTCATTTGATGGAAAGGGGTATATAATAATTAATAGTAATAAGTAATAGTGGTCAATAGTGGTTCCTTTGAAATTTTGACAAAATATTGCACATCTACGTGAGGTAAATTAGGGGATGAACTTTGATTATTGGATTTCACCCTCTTCCTGTTAACCAATTTCAATAAAACTGGGCACATAAATGTAATTCCAATAAAAAATTTATGTCATGATCACCATAACATTTTATTTGGAATTGGATGGAAATGGCAGACGGATGTGAGGAAGTCCGCAATCGTGTAGAGCAGCTACCTTGTGATTGTTTTGACGAGGACTTCCATATGCGATTCAGGAGGTCTACCACGAAATGTGTACGAAGATCGTGCTTTGACATAAGTTCTTACTCCGACACGTCAAATGACAGCTTTCGTATCGAATTTTGACATTACTCTCATCGTAAAATTGACAGATGTTGTACGTTTGAACTTACTTAGTACGGACGCACACTAAGAAGAAGTTTACAAAAAAACTGACCTCAAACGTTCGTAGAATTACACCTATTTATTAAGTTTGAAACCGGATTCGTCACCTCGTTTACCACCCTTAGACGTGGAATATTTTATTCAAATTTAAATGGGACCAATACTGAGGTATGTCAGAGCTTCGTTGCGGACGTAGTCGTGGTATCGTATTACGTGGTAGACTTCCAGTTATCGTTGAGGAAACCGCGGTAACAAATAACGAAAGTGGATAAGTAAACTTTTGAGGTCAGCTTTCGTCGTCACAGGAAAAGCAAATGTCGCAATAAGGAAATGTGGAAGAAACATGACGGATTGATATTCAGTTAATAGCATTAACAGAATCTCACAATCGAATTAAGTTGATTCTTTGCGCTCAACATGCAACCAGTTGCCGGAGCTGGTAGAGATGGGGAATTCATACGCGATGTCGTATGAACACGAAACATATTGGCTACACTTTTGGATATGGCAAAATGTTGACATAAATTTGATGTTTGACAAGTTTATTATTTTGACACTTAAAGGGTGATGAGGTTCGATGTATTCAACTATTTATAACAAAGAATACTAGTAAAGTAATCTCCTACCGTATTTGCAAACAACCTTAGGTACAGAGTTTGTTCAACCAAGAGGTGGATCCCAGGAGTCATAAGATACAGGATTTTTCTAGATCAGGCTTCTGTCTCTCACAAAGCTTATATGTAGGTACGCTCTGTACGCTCTGTTCCCTGTTAAACTCCGTATGCGTTTGGTCCACTGTTATGTCTTCAGTATCTTGCAGTTTGGTGTGGAGTGTTGGACCTTGACCCCAGTATTATGGTCAAAATTGGAGTCCTTTGAGATGTGGCTTGGCGTATCGTGAGTACAAAACGTCACCAATATTGACGTTCTTTGTCAAATGGGAAAAAAGTTGGAAATAGTTAGAACTGTAAGGAAAGGAAGCTGCATCAACAAGCAATATTTTAGCCACGTAGTGAGTGTCTCTAACGCGCTGCTGTGTTTTCATTCACCATTTAAAAAAGATATATAATTTACAAAAAAAATATTAATTTTTTTAAGCATAAGGAACACCGTGCGTCTCTACAACGCACGACTGGTTATGAGTTAGTTTATCTATGTGAATGTCCGTGTTTTGCGAGATCATGATAAAAATTAAAGATGAAAGGTAAAGATAAATTTATTTTCATTATAACTTGATCTAATACAAGGTAAACAAATGTAAAGGAAGCCATTATTACTATTATATTAAAATATATATTAAAAAACACGGAACCTTAATATATATAATAGTCATAACGCTACAATTAAATCTTAGAAGTCTAATAGTGGTGCGATGTCTAATAGTAAATGATCACCAGTATTTTAGGCATCTTATTATTTTTTTTAAATATATGATAGACACGTGTTTGGCCACAATCTCAACTGATGTTAAGCGACGATGGGACGCGTTTGCCTAAAAAACGCCTATTCACTCTAGCCTTGAATACCCCAAATTGTACTTTTCGGGAAATACAGATGCCAGATGTAGAGATGTAGAGAATTCCATTCCTTTGCCGTACGCATCAAAAAGAAGAAAGCAAAGCGCTTAGTGCAAACGGGATGGAGTGTGGACCTTCTAGTCGACCGAAGTAGGAACGGTGGGTGGAACTAAATTGAAAAGTTCGTTTTTTCGCGAAATGTACATATGTCAAAGTCAATTAAGTAATATTTATTTCATACGTAAGGAAATTGCTCTTCAAATCGTCGTACTGATTAAACTATACTGCTCATTGGTAAGGCAAATTCTCCTGAGAAGAATAAGCTAGAAACTCTAGGTGTTGCTCCTTGTAAATCCATTTATTTATTTATTTATTTTTTTTTTTATAAATAACGCACACACTCAACATAGCCCCGCACTAGGGAAACCCTGTGTCGCGGGTGCCATGGACACACACATAGACAACCACAAATTACATCCAAACTCACGAGAGAAATAATTGTAGGCCATACAACTATTTCTCCCGGCCCGGGAATCGAACCTGGGACCTCTGCGTGGCAGTCCGGCATGGTAACCATTAGGCCACGGAGGCAGTTTATTATTATACTATATTTTATTTAAACATCTTACGTCAAGACTACCGCAAGAGTCAAATAAAAACAAAAATACTGCGGAATTTTGTCATCCTAGTGCGCAAAAGCTGCGTGATAAACTCTAGTATAAAGTATTTGTTTCACTATAGTTTTAAACCTCGTAATTGGCAATTTTTAAATATCGATCGGAACCTTATTACAGAATCGTATACATTGCCTCTTAAATAAAATTGAATTGTGCGTACATTTGAATTATACATAATTATGTCTACTTTCTTAATGTTAACATGGACATGGACGTCGCAACTCGTCCGAAACGTCGAGGTAATAAAATATATTTATACACGCCTAAGTTCCGATTTTAAATTTCAAATAATCTGAGAAAATCGTGAAAATTTAAAACAATGTATTGTAACATGTACATTCTGAGGTTTAAGTTAAAAAAGTACGTAAATATATTAACAAATGAATCAAAGAAACACGAACAGTTGTAGCAAAGCCTTTTTGGCCTGGCATTTTCCCAGGCTTCATTAACCCATATGTGAAAACGCAGAGTTAAGCGTTGAAACTCGAAAAGTTCTAACTGACATGCGGGCTGAGCTTGGGTTGCATGTCAATTACACGCGAAACCGGATTACAACTGGCAAGTTTACAGCTTGTGGGAGTTGCGCTGTGATAGACAAATAGAATTTGAGTGCTGTAGCTGTTTTTCAACTCTGTTTGGTCGTTTGACTTTGACATAACACAGTGTCGCGAAAGACCTTCAAGTTCATAGACAACAACTTTTGTTCCACGACTATTAAATAATTCATAAGATAGGTATTACTTTCGTGCAAAAATAAGTAGTCTGTCTTTTTTTTAAGACGGAGAAGTGACATTTGGAGGGTTGTCAGTTTTCATAATATTTTAAATAGTCACGTAGTTGTTGTCGACATTTTTATCGAAAGATTGTGAAAGAAGGTAAAATTTTGCTAAAAATGTCTGAATTGTGAAAGTTATGACGTTCTTATGATTAGGACTAATTGCGTTACTGCCTTTTTCATTCTTATTTTGACAGTTAGCCTACTAATATCGAAATTACTCACCGATGGCGTTACGGCAAAAAAAGTCGTTAAAAAATCAAAACAAATATCTCCAATAAGCACATAGAAAAATTCGTAAGGCCAGCTGGGTCGTTCCGTGGTTTAGTTGGCATAGCGTCTGACACGGTTTGCTAGAAGACGTTGGTTCGAATCCTGTGTGGTAGATCTTTAATAATGATAATTGAATATCAATTCAATAAAAACTGAAAATGATAAATAATTTTTATTCATAATTTTATTTAAAAAACTGTGCCGTTGCTTTTTCATTTGAAAGTGATAATTAATTACTCCAATTAAATGTGACTTATTGACTGCTAATAAAATAATTCTTGTTTTTAACCGACTTCCAAAAAGGAGGAGGTTGTCAATTCGACTGTATTTTGTTTGTTTGTATGTTATGCGATAATTCCGTTATTTTTTTGTTGGAAAGAGAATAAGTATATCAGTATTAGTTCCATTTTAATTTGAAGAAAATGTTCCGCTTTTAAGAGTGGCAAATTAGGGGATGAATCAGGTTTCGCGCCCTTTCCGGTAACCGACTTCAATAAAGCTTGGCAAATATATGTAATTCCACGAACTTATAACACTTTTTTATAAAAAAGTTATAAAAAAATACCGACGTTTATATAAAAGTTACAATTATTAATGTTATTAAAGCTATACTTGAATGAATTTTATTTTGTCGGCAGCGATGAAACGCGGGAGATCGACAGTCGTGCTAGATCGGAGTCTGGCGAAGTGGACTCCGTGTATCATGTTCGAGGAGCTTTGCACGACGGAAGGTGGAGAGACCAGGTAAGGTCATAAAAAAGTAAACCATTACAGCAAAAATAAAAATTGTTTTATAGAGAAAGAACAGAGACCAAGGCAAACTTACCACGACCAAATTGGCGTCTTAAAAAAGAACTTGATAGAATAGCAAAATGTCTCAATTTAAAATAGCAATGAGTAGCTTTCTTTGAACCGAATTGTATGACATTACAGCGAATTAACGTTGGATCAACGAATGTCAAATAGCATGTCATGGTACCATGCTAAAGGCGCTAAAACGTCTCCGAACTTATAGGGCGTTAAAATCGTATACTTGACTTGTAAGACTTGGTTTGGCGTTGGCGTAAATGCTGTTGACATGATCGTTTTTATGAGGGAGCCTGCCAAAAAAGTTTTGACGTTGGCGCCCAAATTTGTGAAACAAATATATGCCTGAAGTTCGCGTGACATGCGACAGGAGATGTTGAATTTTGCTCATTAAAAGTACCAAATTCGTTTTAGCGGAATAACTCTAAAACTAAAGGGATTAAAAAAAATCCGTAGTGACAGTTCTCGATCGTGCATAAATATAATTAATTATCTAATTTTTGTCCTAATAACCTGTAGCATTTCGAGGATGAACCGAAAAAATGTGAAAATTAGAGGTGTTTTCGGGATTTTTATCTATCGAGAAAACTTTATTGTTTTATGTTTCTGATTAGTGTCTATGCTTGAATATATCGTGTAGTTACTCATACAATATTTTATTTTTAACTTTAAAGTGGATATACCCCTCTAAAATCAAATCGAAGATTAGGAATTTTTCCTCTGCTCCCTCGTCATGGTACGAATAACCAAAACGGACTTGTTTAGGTTCAAAGTTGAATCGCAATAAGAGTTCATGGTAAGGCCCCAGGTCAAGAGTGTCTACCCTTAACCGCCGAGCGTGTATGAAAGCCTTAATGCGGCTAAAGATGTGTGTCAGGACCATAGCTCGTGAAAGCCACATGGGAGCGTACATGTACACAAATCGTTAGTGTTTTGTAGAAAGAGCACAAACGCGATTTTGAAAAATTTTTCAGGGAAGCATGTTTTAGTTTTCATGACTGTTTTAAAATATTGACGTCTAATTTTAAAATGAAATTTTTAAGTTTTAATTGAGATTAAAACAGGACGTAAATATTTTACAACAGGCGTGAAAAACTAAAAAATACTAATTTGAATTTTTTTTCGAAATGCCGTTTTCGTCCTTTCTTCAAAACAATGACTGTCATTTAAATAAATATACTCGGTTGTGTTCATGTCATCATGTTAAGGGAGTTAGAAAATTCGTTATGTTAAGCGAATAAGGAGCGAAAAAGACGTTCTGTGTTTCGCTTCGGCAATCCGAGTCTTTTTCTGACTGACTGAAGTTGTTTCCACAACTACAAGTGTGATGACACCTTAAGAGCGATGCCACACGAGCGATGCCGGTGTGTTACGTTATCGCAACGCTATGAGTGCCACAGGAGCAATGCCGTGTCGCAACGTAACCCCGCTTAGAGACCCCCACACTAACGTCGTAAGCGGGTAAGCGTCTTGCCAACGCACGCACAGCGTCAACACGACCGCGTGATATATATATATATATATATATATATACCCGACGCTCGGCACTATTTAGAGGGTCTATACCCTTTCCCTGTCCAACATCTGTCCGAAAAAATACTATCAAATAAGTAACACTCGACTAAATCAAAAGAACGGGATACCCTCAGCAGTTGCTCACTAACACCAACTCAGCGCGGACGTTTTGTCGACATTGTGCGTACGTTCCCAAGACGCTGATGCTCGAAAGAGTGGCGGGGTCTCTTACTTACGCATCGCAGCACCCCTCTACGCTTCGTTTCGTGGTCCATTTCGGTCAACGCGCGCTTTTTTAACGCACCTTGTAGCATGTAGTTCTAATTTGTATGAAGTACAACGCAGCGTTACCGCTCAAGCATCGCAACGTATTGTGTGGCATCGCACTAATACGGCAAAGTATTTAGCCAAGTCTTCGAATCGGTCCATTAATTGGATATTCACAATCAAGATTCCACATTGTCATTCTAAAATAGCCATATGGGCAACACACGGGCACAGAGGCACCAGATTCGTGTTGTCAGGGGACCGTAGAGGCTTTGTTATCCGGTCAACTGTAAGCCAATCTCTGCGCCATTATAGGAGATCCAATTAGCGTGACAGGTTCGGTAAATGGAAATACCTATCAGTGACAAGATCCAGGTAGTAATACCCGTTGTATTATATAAACACGTGAGTACCCAAAGTAATAAGTAATGAAAATGATAGACCGGGAATTAAATAGCACCTTTGGTTTCAGGAGAGAGGTTTATAGAGTACTACCGACTCCGAGATTAGAAATGTTTAGACAAAGTCCGCTTAATGCTCTGGCCACACAGAGGCGGTAGCGGGAGCGTTGCGGACCCGGGAATTGTTGTAATGTTTATTTATTTATTAATTAAACTTTATTGACCACAACACATAATACAAAAGGCGGAATTAATGCTAAAAGCATTTTCTACCAGTCAACCTTTGAGGAAAACGAAATTCACGAATGCGGCAAATGAAACAAAATATTAAATTCATAATGTATTAATAACATAAATGTAATAAATATATTAATAATATATATATATATATATATATATATATATATAACAAACAAACCTAATATATACATATCCATACACATAATACATATATACATATTTATATATGATACATACGATAATAATGATGATTATTATAGCTGTGACAAACAACTTAAAAGATGCTCATAAACTTTTTGAAAGAGAATAAACTAGGAGACTTTCTGATGGAGTCCGGGAGAGTATTCCAGAGACGTGTTGAATGAAGATTGAAGGAATCAGACATGAAGCCAGAAGGGAAGATAGATACAGAGTATGAAAGAGAGTTAATGGATCGAAGGGGGCGGTCATGAGAGTTTTTATTTAAATTTTTTTTATAAAATGTAAGTGCGCATTTGACCTCCGTCTCACCTGAAGGAAAGTGACGATGAGGTCGACGATGGAGCATGCACATCTAAATAATGCCTATTCACTCGTCTTGAAAAGGCCCGAGTTATAAAGTTCGGGGAACAAGTTTGCAAGGGAATTTCACTCCATAGCCCTTCATAAATGTGGAAGCGTAACGCGTCGTGCCAATCTTTGGAATGTTCACAGAGTATTCCAGATGGTGAGGATTGAAAATAATGAAAAGCAGCGTGCAAGTAGTCTCTTCTGCCTGCGTTGACGGAAAGGGAGCCATTTAAGTTTAGTCCCGTAAGAGGAAACGTCATCAAATTTGCGAATAATGTTCGAGTTGATATGCATCCTGCCACATTGAAACCGGGTGGTGGGTTAGCGCGGTCCGGGGCCGAACGCTTGGACAAACAAAAGCGGGCCGGGCCCGGGCGGGGCGGGTGCTGTTACGAAGCTGTATTTCATTGAGTTCTATGTAACCGTCCACACAGAGCAGCATGGCCCGCAGGCGGACAGTCCGTGTTCGGACCGTACGCACAGCTGTGAGACCAGCCTTAGAATTTCAAGAACCTTACACTAACATTCTACTAGTTCTACAGTCAGTTATAAAGGACTTAACATACAAGGATCATGTATTACATACGACGACAATTATCTCAGTTAGTAGAGCGACGGTACGTTACACCGGGGTCGCCGGTTCATGTCTTGTCGGGTCGAAGGAATGTTTGTTTGTGTTCGATCATTGTATTAATAATTATAACAAACTATTGGAGTTGTTTTACTAAAATATATGAGTAGAATACCACGGTGGTCAAACATCGTGAAATTCAATTCATTTATAATAATCATCAATAATAACTGTTGTTAACCGATTTCAAAAAGGAGGAGGTGCTCAATTACTCCAGCATTTATGAACCGATTTTGATGATTCTTTTCTGTTGGAAAGGTATTGGTTCCATTTAAATTTGAAGAAAATATTCCATATGTAAGGGTGGCAAGCTAGGGAGTGAACCGAGAACCGATTTCAATACAACTTGGCAAATAGATGTAATTCCAAGGAATTATTAAGGTAGGTTTATTTTTTCATAAAAAAGTTATAATTTTTATACACGATCCTTGAATGTCAAGTCCTTCAAGACTGGTCGTAGAACCAATGTGTTCGTCCATCCAAGTTAACTTGACACTCAACTAAATTGCATGTTTTGTTTCGGTGCTCAAATTAAATGCCCTTATTCATAGCGCAATTCTCGCAAAAACCCGTATTCAAATGGCGTATAATCCATTTTCCTGCATTCGCTGCCAGAGTTCGTTATAAGCGAGGCCATTTGCTCGCTTGCCCAATCGCATCACCCAGAAAATTACAAGTGGAGACATAGCTTGCATAATCCCTTAATTAATAACCGCCCCCGCAATCACTGCTTGCTTCAGATTCGAAATTAAACATTCAATTCATCCAAATGATACAGTGTGATAAGAAATATGATGTAATAACAATTGCGTTTTTGAGTTTCAAAGGGTTTTGTTCAGATATTGTTTGGTTTTCTTTTAAGGTGAGGCCAGACAAGCGTGATTTTGTGAGTTGTGAATCGCGTTTTTTGACTCTAGTATATTATAATTATTAATACAAAGATCGAACACTCAGAAAACACACTCAGAAAAAAATCCTTCGATCCGGTCGGATTCGAACCGACGTCTTCTTGCATAACGTGCCAGACGCTATACCAAGTAAGCCACGGAACGAACCAACGGACCTCACAAATTTTTCTATGTGCTTGCGTCGTGTCTTTGTACTTGGTCTTTCAACGACTTTTTAGTCATAGCGCCATCTATGAGAAATCTATTACAGATTTATCACCCAGTTAGTACCTTTACAGCTACCAGTCCTGGCGCGAGATGTCGCTATTCACTGTATAAATTAAATTTTTATTGAATTGATATTCAATTATTTATCTCGTATATTGTTCCACTGAAATTCGGTTTGGGTGCTAAAGGAACGTAATTTGATCAATTTTAAGCGTTTGT